TTTCTGTTGAGAAATCAGAGCTTAATCTGATTTGCTTGGCTTTGTATGTTACACTTCTCTTAAAGAGGTCTTTTGCAGCATATTTGCCAATGCAATCCATCATTTGATTTCTTAACTGTTGCTTCCATGGATGTTGATTATAAAATGAATTCATGGTAACTTCCATCTCTTCTTTGTTTATCATGATATTATTTATTGAATCAGTTGTGAGGAATTTTGTTTTATGTTACGGTGTAATCTTCATCACTAAGTGCTTCAAGTCCTTCTCATTTCCAGCAAGCAAGGTTGTGTCATCTGCTTATCACAGGTTTTTAACAAGTCTTCCTCCAATCCTGATGCTGTATTCTTCTTCATATAGTCCAGCTTTTCAGATCACTTGCTGAGCACTCAGACCATACTCATAACAACCCTGTATGACAGAATCGAACTGTCCTGTAGAGTTTCCTAGGTTGTCATCTTTTATTGGAGCAGAACACCTGGGTCTTTCTCCCATGGAGTTGCTTGTCATTGTTGTTGCTGTTGTTGAGTGCTATTGAGTCGATTCTGACTTATAGCAACTCTTTATAGGGTTTCCAAGGAGTGACTCGTGAGTTTGAACTGCTGACCTTGTAGTCCAGTGCTTTATCCCACAGCACCACACTACTGAGTAGGTTCAAATCACCGACCTTTTGGTTACGAGCCGAAACCATTGTGCCACCAGGGCTCCTTTACCTTGACATAGGATGCTGTTACCTCACATATTGTTGTTGTTAAGTACTGCTGAATAGGTTCTGACTATATAGTGTTTTTTAAGGAGTGGATGGTGGATTTGAACCACCAGCCTTGAGGTTAGCAGTCTAGTGTTTATCATACGCACCACACCAGGACTCTTCTTACATATTATGAATGTTAAATACATTTCTATGGAAAGAAGGAAGTAAAAAAGGAGGTAGGGAGGGAGATAGGGAGATATTTCATACAAACTTTTTCTATTATTGGCTAATATCATTGTCTGCACAGTAAGAACTTATTTCTCTATATAGTTCTTGAATAAAAGAAGAAATAGATGACCATCCCTCTGAGATTACCAAGTCTGGAACTATTGCTTCAAGGCAAAGAGATGAAGTGGTGATCTTCAGTGTTTTTCCTGTTGTATGATTCTGTGGTTTCTTTGACTATTAAAGTTGGCTAGGCTGCAAATGCATTTTAAAGCTGTAAAGCAAAATGCTTTCAGATGAAAGGCAGAGAGAAACAACTTCTCAGGGTGTGCACTTCAGCACCAGCAAACCCTAATGAATACCATTCTAATTTATCTTCATAAGTAAAGTAAGCTCATCTAAATGATGTATACCCAAAGCACTAACTTGTGCTGCACTGTGAAATGAGAACCTCTCTACCTGGCTTTATTCTGTCCCACATTAGCCACCCTGTTTGCAGACAGCAGCCTTTCTGAAGTATGGTTTCTTGCACCGATACAGAGAAACTGCTGAAGTCATGAGGCTGCTCCAGGCAGAGACCTCATGTGAGTCATATGAAAGCTCCAGCATTGCTGACCTCTGGTAAAAAGGGAGTGAACGAAGACGAGAGAGGCAGAGGGGGAGAGATTCTAGTGTGGGTTTTCTCCTTGAACCTAGAAGATTATGGGTCAGGAGCTGTGTGCAAAGGCTCTACAGCCTGGAGACCGCTGTTATCGCTGTTCAGAGGGAGGCGGAGGCGAGGCAAACAGCTGTCAGAGGACTCAGCCTGTGACGATGGAGGCTGCGGTTGAGGTATTTGCATCCTGGGCAAGAGCATCTTTCTCTGTTGATAAACCAAGGAGTTCCGAGACTCCCTTTCTAAAGCAGGGTCTGATTTTTCTGCAGGAGGTCTAAACCAATAAAGGGAAAGTTCTGTTAAAGTCAGAAAATTTATCACAGCAGTTATCAAATTGGGAGCTGTTCTTGTAAATCAAGAGAGGAAAATAACCTTATGCTTTGGGCTGCATTAAGCTCACTTGCTTTTTGGTGGAGAAAGTCAGTACTGTCTTAAAATCTGAGAATCCTCAGTTATAGAACTGAGTCTCACAAAGGTAAGCTGCAGTATTGGCATGCTCTAGGTTAAAAAATTGGACAATTAGGTCATGTTCCTGAGCAAGCCATCTAGAAGATTATCTCCTAAAGATATAAATTAAGTGAATATGCAAAAAAAAAAAAAAGCCTAAATTAAAAAAAGAACAATTGGAAAGCATTCATCAAAGGGACTAAGGATAATCTAAGCATCCAAAGCATCCAAAACCTATTTTTAAGTGAAGAAAGGATGCAGTGTTTCAGCAGTTTTTATCATTGTGGTCTTTTTTAGTGATCTGACTTTCAGGAAAGGTACCTTTTGGGGAAGCAAGATTGGAAAATATTTTAAAAATGAAAATCAGGCAAATAAAAAAAAATGATGCATCCCAGCCATTGAGTCAAGCTTGACTTTGCATAAATTTGATTCCAGTACTTTGGGGTTGTTTTTCTCCAGCTAATAGATCTAAAAGGAGCATCAAGTTCTATGACTTCATTTCACCCCAGGGGACTTGAGGCTGTCCGTGCCCGGAAGTTTAAGAGTAAAAGGCCACGGAGTAACAGTGATTCTTTTCAGGAAGAGGACCTGGAGCCAAGTTTTCAGTGGGTGAGTGGGCAGCTGATGTTGATCCTGAAGAATTTAGTGGGTGCTTGTCTAGGGGGCTGGCTTTTATTTCCTGGGCAGTTACTGCAGTGCCTTTCTAGATAAGCACACTCTGGCAACACTGTCTAATTTCCCAGGGGAGAAAAATGTCAACATTGAAAACATGGCCTATCTCTCTTCCCTACCTCTCGCCCCTTCCTCTCCCCTTATGCAGAGGAAGAGTCTCCCTTTTGGGGCAGCTTCATCTTACTTGAACTTGGAGAAGCTGGGTGAAGGTTCTTATGCTACAGTTTACAAGGGGATTAGCAGGTGAGTAACTCAGAGCTGTGAGAGACTAGGGATGAGTGTCCCACCTCCCCCATTGTGATGTATCAAGCCAGGTGAGCTATCAGGACCAGTGCAAGACAAGACGGACAGTGGGGAGAAGGACACACTTGCCTGGCCCTAACTAAATCAGTCCATTAGCTCACACTTCAGATGAACTAATATAAAACGATGCCCAATATTTGAAGAGAAAAAAGCAAATTACAGAACAATGTATGAGCCCTATGAGTCCATTTAGAAAAACTTACTTAGATGTGTTGTTGTTGTTGTTAAGTGCCATCGAGTCAGTTCTAATTCATAGTGACCCTGTATAGGGTTTCTGAGGAGCAACTGGTATGTTTGAACCACTGACCTTGCAATTCAAACTGACCTTGTGGTCCAATGCTTATCCTATAGCACTATACCAGGATATATAAATTTTTATGTGCATAGAAGAGTATGGAAAAAATATACAAGAGATTATGTTAGAAGTAGTGCAAGAATACATATTATTCATTACTGTTAAAGTTTATCATAAATGTTCCAGCCAATGCAAGAAGAAAAAAAGACAGATGAGTTTTGTGCATTATAAAACTGTCTACCTAAAAAAACTCAAAAGTAGTATCTAAGTAGAAACCATTTAAAGTAGTAAGGGACCATAAAGGTGATTAGTAACAAAACCAAATATGTTTATAAAACGTTGTCTTATATTAGCAATGGCTAGTTCTTCGGAAACCCTATACAGAGTTGCTATGGGTCGGAACCGACTTGAGGGCACTTCACAACAAGTGGCTAGTGGCTATGTGCCGTGGAGTTGGTTCTGACTCATAGTGATCCTGTATAGGGTTTCTGAGACTGTAAATCTTTACTGGAGCAGAAAGCCTCACCTTTTCCCCACGGAACAGCCTTTTAGTTAAGGTAGAGAAAGTAAGCGGCCCCACTTGTAACCACTACGCTACTAGAGCTACGTATATATTAGCAGTTGTTGTTGTTGTGTGCCGTGGAGTCGGTTCCGACTCATAGCGACCCTGTATAGGGTTTCCGAGGCTGTAAATCTTTACGGGAGTAGAAAGCCTCATCTTTCTCCTGCGGAGCAGCTGGTAGTTTCGAACTGCTGACCTTAAGGCTTGCAGCCCGATTCGTAACCACTACGCTACCAGAGCTCCTTATATATATATATTAGCAGTAGCATTTAGAAAATATAATAGGGAAAAAATTACACTCACAATAGCAACAAAAATTATCATTAGTATTTAAAATAGGCAGGATTTATATTATGATTTGCTATGAGGCATAAAAGACTTGAATAAAGAATCAGAGAGGAATTAATTTATTTCATTGATGTGTATTAATTACCTACTTACTATGTGACCTTGTGGAGTCCTGATGTAGTGCAGCAGGATAATGCACTAGACCGAAGGTTGGTTTGAACAGAAAGGTTAGTGGTTCAAACCTACCAGTCATTCCTTGGAAGCCTTATACAGGCTCGCTATGAGTTAGAATTGACTTGACCATACTTAACAACAACAACAATGCGGCCTTGTGGTATTGCACTGTGGGATACAACACTGGGCTTCAGGGTCGGTTTGAACCATAAGATCGGCAGTTCAAACTCACCAGCAACTCCTTGGTAACTCCATAAAGGGTCACTATGAGCCGGAACCAGCTCCATGGCATTTAACAATAATAAGGTGCTTAATATATGTCAATGAAATGAATGAATTCCTCTCTCATTTCACTGATGTGTATTGTGGAGTCCTGGTGTGGCATTGTAGGACAAGCACTGGACCTCAAGGTCAGTTTGAACTGCAAGGTTGGTGGTTCAGACCCACCACTCACTTCTCAGAAACTCTGTACTGAATCACTATGAATCAGAACCGACTCCACAACATTTAAAATATGTACCAGGCACTATTTTAGTTAGTAGGGTACATCAGAGAACAAAAATCCATTCTCTTACGAAGTGTACATTCTAGTGGTGGTGAGACCAACGATAAACATTACAGTCAGTCCCCAGATTATGAATGAGATCCATTCCTATGTCTTTATGAATAGTTTAGGGGTTTAAACCTGTTCTGTCTGGTTCAGGCATGTCCTAGGAAGCACTATTGGAACACATTCAAGTTTTGAAAGTTATGGTGAACTGGAAAGATAGTGTCAATAGGAAAAATCATGGGTTGAAGTCTTGCTGGAAACTTAATTTCTCACTACAAAAGAAGGGCAGCATACATGCTGCACAGTAACCATCTCCAGTACAAGATTTTGAGTAGAGTCTGAAGCCGCACTGCCCCATTCAAGATGGTGGCTGCCCACAAGGCTTTGACTGTACGCAGATCTCTTACAGTCCTGCCAATTATTCAATATTATGCATCAAGCTCCTGAAAGAGCTCACTACATACACCTTTTCCAGGGCTTCAACCAGTAATTTTTCCCATGCCTGATACCATGTCAAATCTGCCAACTTGTAAAACTTTGGGTCTGTTCCTGTTTCGTTCCTTTAGCCATGACAGAACCAATTTAAAGGGCAAGTAGGAGTTGTCTATAAGTCAGACATTGTAACCTGTGGACTGAGTAAAATACTGAGTTTGTCAAAGGGTAAAACATGCTATGGAAAAGAATAAAACAGGGGAGCAAGATGATGTATTGAGAACAATATATTTATTTTGTCATTATTAATTACAGTTGAGTTGTAATTAATACAACCCATAGAGACTCTCTATAGGGTTTCTGAGGAGCAGCTGGTGGGTTTTAACTGCTGACCTTGCAGTTAGCAGTCCAGTGTTTATTCTTCAGCACCACACCAGGACGTGTATTAAATCATCTGTATTCTAGGCACTAAGCTTATTCTACCAAAAACAAAACTAAGTAACAACAAAATAGGGAGACTAGAAGGAGTCCTGGTGTGGCATTGTAGGATAAGTACTGGACTGCAAGGTCAGCTTGAACTGCAAATTCAGCAATTCAAATCCAATAGCCTCTCCTCAGAAACCCTGTACAGGGTTGCTGTGAGTCAGAACCAACTCCACGGCACTTAACAACAACAACAGCAGAAGGAGATAGGGAGTCCTTGGTTGGAGCAAATGGTTAATACACTCAGCAGCTAACCAAAAGGTTGGGGGTTTAAGTCAATCTAGAGGTGCCTCAGAGAAAAGGCCTAGAAGATCTACTTCTGAAAAATCAGTGTAGTAAATCCTATTCTACTCTGACAGACACGGGGCCACCGTGAGTCCCAGTGGACATGATGGTACCTGGTTAGAAAGAGCTGAAGAATGGGAGGTAATGATGAGGCCTAGCCACATCTGCCACCACTCTTCTGTCAGTTTGCTGTACTGTGGTGGCTTTGCAGTTACTGTGACTCTGGAAGCTATGCCACTGGTATTTTAAACACCAGCAAGGTCACCCATCGTGAACAGGTTTCAGATGAGCTTGCAGACTAAGAGACTAGAAAGAAGGAGTGACGGACTACATCCACATCCGAATATTTAGGAAACCTATGAATAGCAGCGGAACACTGTCAGATAGCCCCAGAATATTGACTATTGAAACATGATGAAGAACATAAGAATATTGTCAGATAAAGTGCTGGAAGTTGAGCCCCTCAGGTTGGAAGGCACTCAAAATACAACTAGAGAAAAAATATCTCCTCGAAGTATAGTTGACCATGATGACGTAAATGGAGTAAATAACGTCTTTGGGACTTTCATTTGCTAAAGGGGCACAAATCAAAATGCGGAGAAACCACTGTAAACACCCATTAATAATCGGAACATGGAATGTAGGAAAATTGGAAATGGTAAAAAATTCAATGAAATGCATAAACATCAATATCCTAGGCATTAGTGAGCTGAAATGGACTGTTATTGGTCATTTTGAATCTGACAACCACATGGTTTACTATGATGGGTATGACACATTGAAGAGGAATGGTGTCATGTTCATCATAAAAAAGAACATTTTAAGATCCATCTTGAAGTACAACACTGCCTATGATAGGATAATATCCATATAACTACAAGAAAACCAGTTAGTACAACTATTATTGAAATTTATGCATGAAGCACTAAAGCCAGTGATGATGAAGTTGAAAAATTCTACCAGCTTCTTAAATCTGAAATTGATCAATCATGGAATCAAGATGTAATTACTGGTGATTGGACTGCAAAGGTTGGAAACAAAAAGGAAGGCTCAGTCATTGGAAAATATGGTCTTGGTGATAGAAACAAAGCTAGAGATAACATAATAGAATTTTGCAAAACCAATGACTTCTTCATTGCAAATATCTTCTTTAAAAAACATACAAGAAGACTATATACATGGACCTCAACAGAGGAAATACATAGAAATCAAATTGACTACATCTATGGAAAGGGAAAATGGAAAACAAGGCGAGGGACACACTGTGTAACAGTCCTTTAATTGCTCATATGCAAGTTCAGACTGAAGTTGAAGAAAATTAAAACACGTTCATAAGAGCCAAAATATGACCTTAAACAGATCCCACCTGAATTTGGAGATCATCTCAAGAATCAATTTGATGAATTAGACACTAACGACCGAAGACCAGAAGAGATGTGGGATGAAATCAAGAATATCAGGAAGAAAGAAGAAAAAGACTAAAATGAATGTCAGAAGAGACTCTGAAACTTGCTCTACATCATAAAGATGCTAAAGCAAATGGAAGAAATTAGAAGGTAAAAGAGCTGAATAAAAGAATTCAAAAGGCAGCTTGAGAAGACAAAATCAAATGTTATAATGAAATGTGCAAGGATCTGGAGTTAGAAAACCAAAAGAGAAGAAGACGCTCAACATTTCTCAACCTGAGAGGACTGAAGAAAAAAATTCAAGCCTTGACTTGAAATACTGAAGGATGCTATGGGCAAAATATTGAATGATGCAGAAAGCATACAAACAAGATGGAAGGAACACACAGAGTCACTATACCAAAATGAAAAGGTTGGTGTTAAACCATTTCAAGACGTATCATATGATCAAGAGTCAATGATACTAAAGGAAGAAGTCCAAGGTACACTGAAGGTATTGACAAAGAACAAGGCTCTGGGAATTGATGGAAGACAAATTGAAATATTTCTACAAACAGAAACAGCACTGGAGGTATTCACTAGAGGCACTCAGTCAACTATGCCAAGAAATTTGGAAGAGAGCTACCTAGCCAACTGACTGGAAGAGATCCATATTTGTTTCCATTCCCAAAGATAGGTGACCCAACAGAATGTGGAAATCATAGGACAATATCATTTACATTGCATATAAGTAAAGTTTTGCTAATTAAAGTTCAAAATCAGCTGCAACAATACATTTATAGGGAATTGCCAGAGATTCAGGCTGGATTCAGATGAGGACTTGGAATGGGGGACATCACTTAATTGTGCTCATCGGGAACCTGTACATAGAACAAGTGAACACCGAATGGTTTAAAATTAGAAAATGTGTGTGCCAGGGTTGTATTCTTTCACCATACTTATTCAATCTGTATGCTGAGCAAATAATTTGAGAAACTGGAAGAAAAACATGGCATTAGGATGGACGGAAGACTCATTAACAACTTGCGATATGCAGATAATATAATCCTACTTGCTGAAAGTGAAGAGAACTTAAAATACTTACTGATGAGGATCAAAGACCAGAGCTTTTGGTATGGATTACATCTCAATGTAAACACAAAAAATAATATTGTAAAAGAAATGATGCATTTGAGTTATGGTTTTGGAGGAGAATATTAAAACTACAATGAATCACCAAAAAGAACAAACACATTTGTGTTGGAAGAAGTACAGTCAGGATGCTTCTTAGAAGCCAGGGTGGCCATATTTTGTCTCTCATACTTCAGACATATTATAAGGATGGACCAGTCCCTTGAGAAGGACACTATACTCGGAAAAGTGGAGGGTCAGCGAAAAAGAGGAAACTCTCAGTAAGATGGATTGGTACAGTGGCAGTAGCAATGGGCACAAGTGTTGTAATGATTGTGAGGTTGGCGCAGGTCCGTGTAGTGTTTTGTTCTGTTGTGCATAAGGTCACTATGAATTGGTATGGACTCGACAGTACCTAACAACAGTCACATCTGTAGCACCTAGAAGGCTATTATAAGAATTTGGCTTTTATTCTGCATAAAGTGGGAGGTAATGGTACACTTTGAATAGAGAAGTTACTTGGTTTGACTTTCATTTTAAAAGGATGTCTGTTTCTCCCCACTTCTCTAGGATAAATGGACAGCTAGTGGCTTTAAAAGTCATCAGCATGAATGCAGAGGAAGGCATCCCATTTACAGCTATTCGGGAAGGTAAGAGCAGTAAAAATAAACCCAAGAGATCTGTTTTAAGTTCTTGCTCTTAAAAAAAAAAGTGTTGTGTTTATCCATTCAGTACCAGTTGCCATGGTGTGGACCCCAACTCATGGAGACCCTATATATGTAAGAGTAGAATTGTACTCTATAAAGTTTTCATTGGTTGATTTTTTTCCTAGAAGATCACTAGGTCTTTCTTCTGAGTGCCTCTGGATAGACTAAAACCTCCAACTTTTGGTTGGCTGCTAAGTGTGTTAACCATTTACACCACCCAGAGACTTCTATTCAGCACCTAGTTTTGCCACTGTGTGAGAGAAAGATGTAGCAGTCTGCTGCTGTAAAGATACATGGCCTTGGAAACTCAGAAGAACAAATCTACTGTGTCCTACAGGGTCAATTTGAATCAGAATTCACTAGATGGCAGTGGGTTTGGTTTACATTCATCAAACTACATGTTTGATAGACTGCACCTCGGTCAATATATCAGGGCAAGTCATTGGCTATTCATTCAAGAAATATAAATGATAAGAACAGTGAGAATTTGTGACACTTCAGCCAAGACTTGTCCCTTTCCCTGTAGTCCCCCAAGAAAGCTGGACAGAAGCTTCACACCAACCATATGTGGCCAAGAGGAAGGTGCCCCCATTAGCTCCCAAGTCAAGGATGCACTGTCGGCTGGGAGGGGCAGGACACCTTTGTTTTTGATCCCCTTCTTGGTGAGTGCAGCTGAGATGTCCTTCAGTTAGCCCTCACTCATAAGGAGATGCTAGGCATGGCACAATGAGAATTCAGAAACCCTAATCTTCCTCCTCACAGCATTTTCATGGGTGAAGCTTCCAAAAAAGAAAGAAAAAAAAATTTCTACAAATAATTATTTTGCTTTTCATGCTACTTTTCCAGGAATATTTACACTATTTGCTTTTATTGTTTTAATTGTTAAAGTTTTTATTGTGAATTGAGTGATAGTTTACATGGGGGAACATCAGTTTTACACTCATCCTGTCGTATTCGTTTCTTTGCAATGATTACAATCATATTAATTTCATTGCAATAATTACAATCCCCTGCATGCTTCATCATTCAACATTATTTGCTTTTATTCCCTCTTTTTTTCCTTTTGGATGTACACCAAAACACTCAGGAATATACAATCATTCCAACAGCCAAAGGGCACACCCTACAAGCCTGCCCCCCAGCTGCCAGCACACAGCCCCTCTCCCTCCATGAGTCTAGAGTCCTCAGCTTCTCTGTCTCTCCATGTCATCATCTCCGACTCCAGTACTGTTATTTTTGAGGAAAATAAGAGTTAGCATATTACTTGACCAAAGCTACTAACTGGATGAGTATTTGCACCTTCCATGTGTTTGGCCCCACATATGATGCTAAGATTATGTCTATATAACCCCAGAAAATCCATTCAAAAGAGATAAATATATAATAATATAACATAATCACATAAATTCTTAGTGGACAATTTGCCTTAAAAATAGCATATTGTTTAGCTTGCCCTTACATATTTTCTGTATTTTTTTTGTGTTGTGTAATGTATTTTCTCTACTTATGGGGCAACATAGCAAAGGAGCCCTAGTGTGGTGCTGTGAGATAAAGCACTGACAAAAAGTTTGGTTTGAACCACAATTCAGCAGATCAAACTTACCAGCCGCTCCTTGGAGACACTATACAGGGTTGTTATAAGTCGGAAATGGCTCAACAACACTTAATAACAACAGCCACAACATAGCAAAGTGGGTAAGGAACTTATTGTCAGATAGACTTGGACTTAAATCTTAGATCTACATTGGATAGAGTCCCAAGATTCAGTTTCTTAATTATAAAAAGGGGGATAATTATGATATGTATTTCATGGAGTTGTTATAAGATTTAAATGAAATAGAAGCATATAAAGCCTTTATGACAAAGCCAATTTTCAGGATTCAATAGATGCTACCTATTAATATTATTATCGTAAGGAGCTCTGGTAGCGTAGTGGTTATGAATCGGGCGGCTAACCTCAAGGTTGGCAGTTTGAAATTACCAGCTGTTCTGCAGGAGAACTTTCTGCTTCCATAAAGATTTGCAGCCTTGGAAACACTGTGCAGGGTCACTATGAGTCGGAACCGACTCCATGGTACTTAACAAGAATAACAATTCTTATTGTAGATGAAACATGAGGTTTTCTGCTCCTGTAAAGATTTATAGCCTTGGAAACCCTACACAAGGTCACTGTGAGTAGAAACTGACTTGATGACACTTGACAACAATTATTATTATTTCATAAATGCTCCTTTCCCTTCATGATATCTTGTTTATACCATCAAGGTAACTTATAATTTATAATAAAGATTTAAAGAACCCAACATATTGAAAATAAATCTGTAAAAATACAGTTTATTAATGTTATTTTTGTGAAATAAACTATTTGAAATAAAATTGGACAGCAGAGAACTAGCACTTTCACGGCCTTACTCTTTCTGCTTTTTAACGACTTATTTTCCTTGTTTGTTGAGTACTTACTATATGCAGTGAGAAACTCTGATGGTACAGTGGTTAAATGCTTGAGTGTTCATCGAAAGGCCAGTGGTTCAAACCCACCAGCAGCTCCCTGAGAGAAAGACGTGGCAGGCTGTCTCCATAAAGATTTACCCTCTTGGAAGCCCTCTGGAGGGGTGGGCAGTTCTACTCAAGGTTTCTATGACTCAGAATTGACTGGCAGCAGTGGGTACTGTATTGAAAGCATATTGCTGGGTGGTGTGAAAGATGAGGAGAAAACGTCCTGATTTCTAGCCTAAGTTGTTTCAGTTTAACAGGCCGTATGATTCAAGTTACAATAAGTGTCATAAGGGAAGCAGAGAAGACATGGTAAAGTAAGAAGCGAACAAGTTATTCTTTGTGTGGCTAATTGAGTCTGTAGCTTTTGAACCAAGCTTGGAAGGCATGGAAAAAGCAATTTAGAAAATGAGTTTATAACTGAATTTGATGTCATTTTCAAAAGTCTTTCAGAGCCCTTGGGAAATACGTCTTTTTAAATTTAAGTGGAAGGGTCAAATGGCTGTAGGTTTAGCTGGGGATTCATCGTGGTAGGCTCAGGTGCATTCTGGAGGAAAGTGTTTATTATAATGGAAGCTACATTTTCTAATCTACTCATTAGTGGTCCCCATAAAGGATGATAGATTTAGAAACTGACACGTGGGTAGGCTAACGAGTATTTGTGAACATAATAGAAATCCCCGGGTCACCAGCATGGGGAGGGTATCTAGGCCAGGTTCATCTCATCCTCCTGGTGTCCCCTTTATGTGCTTGACCCTGCTTGTGGCCTGCTTTGCTCAGATTTAGTCCATAGCCACATTTCTCAGGTTGACATTTTGAGGAACAGAGAAACCTTTTGCTAGTTTTCCTAGCAGATGGTTCTCAGCATGGTTTAGAAAAGCCATATCTGTATTCAGTCTGTTTTCTAAATGTGTCTTTTAGTGCTTACTGACCGAGGAAATGCCTTTCCATCACAGGTGTTCACAATTAAACTTAATATTCAGTTCTGGGCTTTCTTGGTTTGTTTTATGGACTTACCTTACCAAATGCTTTGCTTGTATAATATTTAAAACCACAAAAGGATTTTTGACACATTTTTAGGTTGTTAGGTGTCCAATTTCCAACAACGAATGTTTCTTTTTCCATCAGTGTAAAAGCTGGGAACTGCTGTTAGAGGAACCATCTCCTCTCAAGAAGATATGAGCCCTTGTTTAAAAACTTTGGCACTGTCCCATTTTTCCTGTAAGAACTTTAAGGATGTGAGACCAGGGAGACAGGAGGTTAAATGAGAAGGGCTGGAAGGCAAAATAAGAACAGCTGGAGTTCATTAGTTAAAATCCAGGGTCACTAGCTAAAAAGGCAACCAAAAGCCACATGTACAAATCTGAAAGAGTAATACAGCTTTCCTTGAACAGCCTTGAATTAGGCTGTTCCTGAATAGTTTGACTGCTCTGATGGATAGGAGCCAAGGATTTATTGGGTAGGATTTTAACGACATGTCCAGTTTCTGTCTACATAGGTACAGTATATGTGGCACTTTATTAATCTGGTCAATGAGAACACAAGTTGTTTTCATTTGATCTTAACCTGTAATGTTATAAAATTAACAAAAGTATGTACAGCACTAAGGGAAATAAAACTGTCTTAATATATGTGCCAGGTACCTTTCATGTGTTACCTTTTTCAATTCTCTTAACAACCTTTGAAGAGACTGCTATTCTAATTTTGTATATATGCAAAAACTCGAGCTGGTTCAAGATCACATAGCTAATGAAGTCCTGAGCCATGATTCAAAAGATTCTGTCTGATTAAAAAAAAATCCACTTTATAAATGCATTCATTTTATGAATTACATTGGGCAAATCTGCTACAAAGCCCTCTCTATAGTTTAAAAAACAAAGATGTCACTTTGTGCACTAAGGGACGTCTGACCCAAGCCATGGTATTTCCAGTTGCCTCATATGCATGTGAAAGCTGGACAGTTAGTAAGGAAGACTATAGAAGAATTGATGCATTTGAATTATGGTGTTGGTGAAGAATATTGCCTATACTATGGACTGCCGGAAGAATGAACTAATCTGTCTTGGAAGAAGTACACCAGGAATGCCCCTTAGGAACGTAGATGGTCTTTGTCTCTCATTCTTTGGACATGTTATGAGGAGTAACCCGTTTCTGGAGAAGGGCATCATGCTTGGTAAAGTAGAGGGTCAACAAAAAAGGTAAAGGCTCTCAGTGAGGTAGATTGGCACAGTGACAGCAAAAATCAACTCCAACAACAGTGGCTGCGGGGATGGCGCAGGACCTGTGGATGTTTTGTTCTGTTACTCATAGGATTTGATGTAAGTCAACACTGACTGGGCAACACTTAAGGAAAACAATGGTCATTTTATAAATATTGATTGGGCATCGATATGGAGCTCTGGTAGTGTAGTGGTTACAAATCGGGCTGCTAACCTCAGGGTCAGCATTTC